TATATAAACAAGTCTTTTTTCTTGTAAACTTTCGATGTGGGATTACTTACCATATATAAGACACTTAAAATTGGGCTTATTAACTTATGTGCTTATATTGGAGACTTATCCAATTCACCCAAATTAATAATAATGGCCCACATAATTAAATATCACATTTAATTATTTAACACCTTATCAATTAATTCCAACAGAACTCACGTAACAATGGTAGCTACAAAACTCATACAAGATTGATTCAACCCAAGAAAGTCAAGAAATCAATGTTTTAAGCTTGATTCAAAAATAGTGAATCAAGGAATCAATATAATCGCCAACAATATGTTAACCCCGTGATTACAAGATTCAAGAATCTCACTCAATTTTGTTGAATGCCACATGAAATATTCTTGATAAGATCACAATTAGTTCGATGAAGTACAAGAAGAAATCAATATGCCTTTCAATTAGTCCATTAATAAATTGGGTATTTTACAATAAATAGAATGTGTCATATTTATAGGAAACTCATAAAACCTTGCTAGAAAATGAAATTAATAGTCAAAATATCAAGAATTACTATAAAACTAGAGTTTTAACTAAGATAGAAGATTGCGCGAAATTGAAAAAATCGCGTCCAGAAATTGTACTATGCGGCTGCATAGTGAAACTTCATGTGGTCGCAAGGCTACTTCAACCGTTCTCAATTTAGCTCGGTATCTATGCATGCGACCGCATGCATAGGTAGGCTATGCGGTCGCATAGCTTTACCCCTCAGCTCATTTGCATGTTGCTTGCACCAAGTTGATCTATCTTGATTCTTCTTCCAAACCCAACACGAAACTTGTTCATTTGCTTTTTGTGATCAATGTCTCGTCTATCATAACTTGAACAAGCAATATCATATCTTCTTTGAGACGCTTCGCTAGTGGCCTAATCCTAGGTCATTTTTCAACGATCAATAGATCCTTGCTTGGACTTGCCATCATTTCTTGGATCACATCAGGAGCATAGGAAGAGTACAAGAACGATGAGTTCTTAGTGTTCCACATGAGATAAACAATTTTAGAAGATCAGAAGCAGATGTGAGTGAAGCACATTCTAACTGGTCTTAGAGATTACATGAATTAGATCAACAAGTCTAGTGAACTTTCTAGGCTGAATCATATTGTAAGTTTTTATTGTCTATAGTGAAAACTATTAGCTATGTCCTTGAATTTTTACTTCGTTAAGGGTTTTCGCCGTCATTTAATCTTGTGTTATTTATTGCTTTATTTATTATTGCGGCAATTCAACATATGATAACTGGATTTGATTGACTAAACATCGAGAACAATAAAGTGACTTGTTACTTTTAATTGATAAATTTAATTCCACGTTCACCTATTACATGATTTTAAGATTGAACTAAACTTTACGTTACAAACACACACAACTTTTTAAAACTGAGTACACGTATTACCATACACAGAAAACCTGATCGATCACAAGAAAAGAAAAAGAAGAAAAAAAGGATAAGAGAAAAAAATCAACAAGCCAGTTGATCTCTGTAGGATATTATTTCTTCAAAAATGGGGAGTCTTCTTGATCTGACAGGTGTCCACTGGTTTATTAACCAATCAAGTTCCGCCACAAATGCATCTTCCAAACTCGGTTTTAAAGAAGGTGAAGCAGAAGCCACGGGCTTATAAGGCTCTAACTCCTTCATAAGCTCCTCAGCTCGATTCCTTGACTTGGGATCATCTGAACCAGGAAATTTGCCGTGTAATGCCTCTTCAAGAACATATTTTGCTTCATCATATCGTTCTTGTTTTATAAGGCACAGGCACAGATTGCAGGCCTTGTTGGCATCGGGATCTATCTGCTGTGCTTTACGATAAACAGCTTCAGAGGCTGCATAGTTTGTTTTCTGCATATATGCCCAACCCAAATTGCCCTGCATTGCAAAAATATAGAAAGTGTATTAGCAACCTCATTAAGCATGATGTAGGAAATGCACGACATAGCATGCATTATTAGCATGTTTGGCAATAGAATTGGATAGCGTTGTGCAATAGCTAATATCTGGTTCATTGTAATGTCTGGCTATGTCCATTACTACTGCGTGCCAAACATTAACTACATTTTTTTCAACACTTAACCAGCCTTTATGACTAGTAAAAATGGCAGGATAAAAATTTATTGTTTCTACTACCAGCCAGGTGACAGAAACTTCTTCTTTAAGCAAATTGGGTGTGTGTGTGTGTGTGCAGGTGGATACAACGAATCATGAAAATCATTCGACAGAATTAGTTGTAATCAGACATGATCTAAACCCACGATTTATACAAGGCAAGGAGGCCTGGGGTTGAGTATGAAGTTTGGATCACCGTCATCCCATGCGAGGAAAAAGAAAGCCTTATATATATTTCACCTAGCACATTGAATGAGATTATACTGCTATATAAGTGATGTGTTATCTTCTTGGTGACACTAGTGAGGATTCATAATGAGGATATATACTGAAATGCAAGGAAGTGACTCGAATCCTTCTAGAATGCTGAAGACGTACTCAGAACTAGCAATATGAATTAGAACTGAAACTTGTGTAAATTTTCTTATACCAATATTCTGGACGTCTCTTGCTTTAAGGTAACCTGGAACTTCCTTCCATGGGAACGAGCTGTCTTGGTCTGTTTTCCATTAAATGCTTCTCCTTGGTAAATCATCCTCAACTTATGCCTCAGCAGTTCGATTTGATCATCTAATTTCCCACATTTCTGCAAAATACAATGAATTATTTCAGACATACTGGTAATATGTTGAATTGGACTTCTATTTCCTAGCAGAACACAATTGACATAGCTGAAATTTTACACTTCCCATCAATGTGGAAACAAATGACTTCATTATAAATGTTAAGAGGACTGACTAGACTAAATTATTTGGTCCTTATAAAGAAGTTAAAGATTGTTTAGCATTCTATTTGGCGGCCTCTTTAAGACCAACAGAAATAGAAGAAATGGAAACTCATAACCAGCTAGTTCTCTTCTCCATATACCAATTATGGGCAAACAGAATTACAAAAAGAAAACAGTTTTCAAACAACTGTAATGTGGTGGAAGTTTTTAAATTTCAATGAGAATGCAGCAACATGTAGGCTTTATTAAGAAATGAACAAACACTGCAATTGATTATCTCAATATTTCAGGAACTCAAGCGGTCGGTCCTTGAGAAGGAGATCTGTAATTTGCTAAGGCAGTGCAATAAAACAATGGCTGATGCAGACAAATTGCTTTAAAATGGCTGATGTTAGACAATAGAAGTCAATCTTCACTTTCCTAAAAACAATAGCAGTTATTATTGTACCTTATATAGGTCAACAAGGACATTATCTAGTGATTCCTGAGCTTGTTTGGAGCATAGGTCCCTAAAGGACTTTATAGCTTCAATTGCCTCTTCAGCCCTATCTTGTTGTGTCATAACCACTGCCAAGTCTTTGAGTGCACTATCTACTCTGTCTCTAGCATTTATCGCCTTCCAAAATAAAACTATTGCAGCTTCGTAATCCTTCTCGACCAACTGTCAGTAAAATAGCAAACAAACGTAGATAATAAATAAGTACAAAATCAGAATAATTCATAGTACATCTGGAAACCATCAATTACTTAAATTGCTTAATATACTGCATAATTCCATTGGGCACTATAAGGGAAAATAAAAAATGGACAGGTAAACATAGAGATTTTAAGGATTTTACATCTCGTTAAGAAGCAAAACGATTGCACCACATCAGCACAAGCAACAACATATGGCATGTTACATAAGATTTATGTTCCTAAAATAGGCATCCACGATTAAGATTTAGGTTCTAGATTCATTATTTAACTGGTGGTTGGATTCTAACACATATCAAGGCTCAGCAGAAATGTACAAATTCATGTGATTAACTGTCAAGCTACCTAGTCAAGCGATATCTTCACTCTCTATCTATAACACGAATTCCAAATTGTTGAATACCTAGTGAATCAAAATAATATTGAAGCAAGACCAGATCAAAACGTCAACTACATAAAATGATATGATTCATGATCAAACAATAATATCACTCGGAATAGTATGTGATGTTAAACACATAAATAATTATGACAAATTATTTTGCTCATTATTTGAATTTGCATAATTGAAGTCCAAAATGAATTCGAAAAGAGATCAACTAATCTCCCCATCTATCAACTTAAGTCGCTTTATTCTGCACCGATTTGCAAAAAGCTCCGAATATAAGTGCATATTGAGCATTGAATGATTAGATGGAATTTGTGATGATGTTCTACCTTTTCTACATAAACTCCATTATATGCACTAGTGCTTACTTATAGACCAGAATTTGAATGACAATTTGATAAATAAATCGAACCAAGGTAGTTTATTTTATTATTTAAGAGATGAAAGCATATTCAAAGATGACATTCCATATAATATATATTTAGCCAGACCAATTATTTATAAGTTCTAATCTGTACATTAGGCCATCTTTCTTTCATTCATTTTCAATCGGCACGTTTTTCCCTGCTTAAAAGCCGCTAAAAATAGCCTTTTCACGGCCAAACTCGAAACATATTCTCAAAAACAGAAATTTAAAACCATACAGAAGATGAAATCATAAGAAAACTCTGAATTACACAATGCATCAAAAGCAACACATACACGCCAAAGAAAAACAAACATATAATGAATAAGATTATTGTTACATCTATGAATCATGAATAACACAAAATATGAGAATTGTACTTACTTGAACATATTTGGCTCTAACATAAGGACTGTCACCAGATGGAAGTTTATGAACAACGTGATACTCGTCTTGTTTCTCTGATTTTCTTGGACTGCTGATATTACTACTGATCTTCATTTTTGCCTCTGTAATTTCCATTTTCCAGCAAAAATGCCTTTTGTCCCTTTTACCAACCACTCTTCTTTCTGTGTATTGGTAAATGGGTTTTGAGGTTCTAGTGGGTAGAAGAATGAGGAGAGAGAATAGTGGATTTAATGGGAACACTGGATGGGGATGAATCTGGACGGCAAGGAGTCCAGGTTCTTGGCTCGTTGGATTTTCTGGTGTTCATACTTCATATGGAGCGGACACTTTCGTGATTTTGGCTGGGCATTGCATTCTGAGTTAAGCTAGTTGTATGGTTATTTTGCCTAATTAATTAGACAAATTATCCAAAGAATAAGGTCGGGCCATATGTTGAGATTGGGCCTTAGAGGTCTGGTTATGTTCCATAATAACAATTATTTTGTCATTATCTCATACCTATTTAAAACATTAATTTTACTTTGATTGTAACTCACCATAACCCTTCTCCTAATACAAATTACATACTTATCACAAGTTTAATTCAAACTCAAATATAACACTTTCAATATAACACAAACACCTTGCATAATAAGGATAAAAACTACATGTGTTTGGATCCTTTTAGAATTCCATCATCAACGTTTATAAATAGGGTTTGACAAAACTCTCGAATCGAATAGAATCCGAACGGAACTGAATCAAATCGAGCAATTCTTCTTAAGTTAAATACCCGAACGAGTATCTGAATCGAGAACCGACTGGTTCGGTTCGGTTCTCAGTTCTGGACCAAGAATTGAATAAGAATCGAATCTCCTTAATTTTTTTAAATTTTTATCTTAAATAAGTCAAATTATTTTATTTTTTAAAATAAATTGCTAACTAATTAATTTAGTCCAAACCCAAAATATGATTTTACTATTTTTTTAATTTCCAGACAAGCTCAACTTAATCAAATTAATCAAAGTTTTACCCAAATATCTTATTCTACCGTAATATCGTTTCTACCGTTCTATTATTGTGAATTAGCCATTTTCCTCTTCATTTGATTTTAACAGTCAAATCTATGAAAAACACAATAAAGAGAGGTGCAAAAGATATAACAAGATTGAACTACGTTATTTTGTTAGAGTTAAGATTGAATATATTATAATCAAACTAATGTAGCGTTGTTATAATATAAAAAAAAATTTAATTATTGTACGAAACCTCGGAACCGAACCGAATAGAATCGAACCGAACCCGAACGGTTCTATAATTAAATTTAGACCCAACGGTTCTATCTACTAAATACTTGAAAATTTTGGGTTTGGTTCTGTTCTCTTTAGAACCGAACCGAACCGAACCGGACAATACTCAGCCCTATCTATAAACACATGGCCAAAGTTCATTATTTAGTACACTTTTACATAATTTCCATTATACATCATTTTGCATAAATTTTATCTCTAACTTAAGCATTAGATGGACAAATAGGACACATATCGACGCCTTTATTTCATGTATTGAAGATCAAATCATGCGGTATTTAAACATCTAATTCGAGATCTAGCAAGTTCAGATTTTTGATAGCATTAATCCTGACCATTGATTTGTATATAAATTTATTCAAATCAATGGTCAGAATGTTAACATCATGGATTGTCAAACTAATAGTACATGTAGCTACAGTTCGAGTATTCTTATAGGACCATGCCACATCTATATAAAGGTCGACAAAATGGTTTACATTCATGTGAGTTGGCAAATTTTGACATTGATCTTGACAACAACTTTTCTAATTAACTGTTAGATTTTTGACATATATGCTGGTGTCAATCAAGACGTACACTTTGTGTGTACAAATAATTTAATTCATTCTCATATGTTTATTTCTAAAATATTTATAGAAGAGTATACGAGTCACGACACAAATTCCACCTAACCATTACATCTATTGTGCAATATTTTCATCATTTCATTTTGGTCGAATACCCTACTATATGATCATTTTGGTACGAAAGACAATATTTTCTTCTATTTTTCTCAATAAAATATTGGGAAATGACGAATGTACCATCTTCTTTAAATATTTATTTGGCACTTATTTATGTGCTATTACTTTTATGAGAAATGTTATTTGTATATCATGATTTACAGATTAATGTACAGAACGATTGACAAGGATGAGGGAAAAAAAATCAGAGATCAAAAAATGAATAAAAAGTCAGTCTTGAAGCTCAAAATAAGATGTCTGGCTAAAGAGGAAACTACACCCAACGCGATTTGACTCACTTTCTCCTTCCCTTATTTTATTTTATTTTATTTCAAATGTACTTTTAATACTTCTTACTCTCGAAGTGATTTATATACTTAACACAAACAACACACAATTAACACCCACTTACTCTTAGCACAGATACATCAAACAATGACAGCCAACCACCATCTACCACCAAGCATCATATCACCACTCAATGCCTAAATGAGACACCATTGCCGATTAGTCAAGGCCAATGCATGGAAAGCTCAATGTAACATTTTATAAGACCCCCGACGGATCTACAAATTCTACTAACCAGAGGTATAAGCATGGAGGCCTGTCATAAGGCCCCTTGTCATTATTTGTCTACATATTTTTAAAAAATATGTTTTGGTTTTTATAAATAAATAAAAGAATAAAGTTATATGTATAGGGGATTTTCCTCTGAAACTCTAGTCAATGCGAAGGAGACGAGTGTCTCCGTGGACAGGTACAGGGGAAAATTTCTTGGACATGTATAACTCTAAATTAAAGGGCCTATGAGTCAAGACATATAGGGCCTGACCATGGAAAAAGGGCTCTACCACTGCCCCTCCTTCCACAGACCTCTTTCATATCCAGCACCTGTTTAAATATTGTTAAAAATTGCTTTAGGACTGCTATAAGTCCACGCCATTTTTTTAACATTTGTTTTAGATATTATGTTTTCAGTCAATAAGTTAGCCCCAGTCTTAAGGAGTTGTTATTCTGTTTTTGACATGATGTAGATAATGGCTTGAATGCCTTAAATTTCTGCATAAGCTTGGGCTTTAGTAAAAGCTTATTTGAGGCCACTCTTTATGTTAAAAAGAAGGGCAATGATGTTTTCATAGTATCTCTTTAGGTTGATGATCTTTTGGTAACAGGAAATCATGCAAGGATGATTGAAGAGTTCAAACAAGAAATGACTCATGTTTTCAAAATGACAGATCTTGCTCCTATGACTTACTTTCTTGGAATGGAGATGAAGCAAAGCCAAAATGAAGTGTTCATCTGCCAAAAGAAATAAGCAAAGGAAATATTGAAGAAATTTCAGATGAAGGAGTGCAAAGCAACAAGCACATCAATGAATCAAAAGGAGAAGCTGAGCAAGGAAGATGGTACCGATAAAGTTGATGAAGAATACTTTAGAAGTCTGGTTGGTTGATTAATGTATCTTACTGCAACAAGACTTGATATTCTATTTTCTGTAAGTATCTTGTCGCGTTTTATGCATTGTGCTAGTGAAATGCATTTAAAAGTGGCAAAAAGAATATTAAGGTATATCAAAGGTACAGATAATTTTCAAGTTATGTGGATTCTCAGATAGTGACTGGGCTGGATCCATTGATGACATGAAAAGCATTTCTAAATATTGTTTCGGCTTAGGTTCAGGAGTCTTCTCATGGTGCTCAAAGAAGCAGGAGATAGTGACGCAATCCACTGCTGAGGCGGAATTTATTGCAACAACTGCAGCGGCAAACCAAGTCTTATGGTTAAAAAAAATTATGTGTGATTTACATATGGAGCAGAAAGATAAAACAGAGATTTTTGTTGACAATTAGGTAGCAATTGCAATTTCTCACAATCCGGTATTTCATGGCAAAACTAAACATTTCAACATCAAGCTTTTTTTCTTGAGAGAAGTGCAGAAAGTTGGAGAGGTTACACTAATTTCCTGCAAGTCTGAAGATCAACTAGCAGATTTGTTTACTGTTTACAAGACCACTTCTAGTAAGCAAGTTCGAGCTTCAAAAGAAGAAAATTGGGATTTGCAACTCCTAAAGCAAGGAGGAGTGTTAAAAATTGCTTTAGGACAACTATAAGTCCACATCATTTTTTTAACAATTGTTTTAGATATTCTATTTTCAGTCAATAAGTTAGGCCCAGTCTTAAGGAGTTGTTATTCTGTTTTTGACGTGATGTAGATAATGGCTTGAATGCCTTAAATTTCTGCATTTCACTTGCTTTTTCAGTTTTCTTTTAGCTATTTAAATGAAAGATTGCTGATTGAATAAAATGAATTCCCTTTGCTGTTGCACTCACTGGATCTTCTTCTTCTCTGCAATTTTATTTTTCCTCTGTTTCTTTATCTTTAAAAACTAACATTTGGTATCAGAGCTTTCTTCTTACGGGATCTGTGAAATGAAAGCTGAATCAAGTTTTTCTCAAATTGCTCCTCCTGTCTTTGATGGAGAAAACTACCAGCTTTGGGCAGTGAAAATGGAGACCTACCTGGAGGCATTGGATCTTTGGGAAGCTGTGGAAGAAGATTATGAAGTTCCTCCACTGCCAAACAATCCCACCATGGCCAGATCAAAAATCATAAAGAGAAAAAAAAAAAAAGTCAAAGGCAAAAGCAAGTCTATTTGCTGCTGTTTCAACAACCATTTTCACAAGAATCATGTCACTAAAAAACAACAAAAGAAGTTTGGGATTATTTGAAGGAAGAATATAAAGGAGATGAAAGAATACGAGGCATGCAGGTGATGAATTTAATAAGGGAATTCGAGTTGCAAAAGATGAAGGAGTCCGAGACATTCAAAGAGTATTCAGACAAGTTGCTTGGCATTGTCAACAAGGTAAGGTTGCTTGGTACTGGTTTTGCTGATTCTAGAATTGTAGAAAAAATTCTTGTAACTGTTCCTGAAAGATATGAAGCATCTATAACCACCTTGGAGAACACAAAGGATCTGTCCAAGATCACCTTGGCAGAACTGTTAAATGCCTTGCAGGCTCAAGAGCAATGGAGGCTTATGAACCAAGATCGTATTATCGAAGGAGCCTTGTCGGCCAAACATCAAAATGCTGGAAATAACAAGAAGAAAAATTACAAAAAAATCAGGAGTCAAGCACTGAAAATAACAAGATCCAAAGTAATAGCAAAATTTCAAAAAGAAACTATCCACTTTGTCAACATTGTGGCAGAACATGCCATTTACCATTCAAATGTTGGACGAGACCAAATGCAAAGTGCAGCAAGTGCAATCAGCTTGGACATGAAGCTGTGATTTGCAGAAGCAATTTGAAAAACAAGGATCAAATGCTCGAATTACTGATCAAGAAGAAGAAGACCAAATTTTTGTGGCAATGTGTTTTTCAACCAAGAGTTCTTCTGAAAGTAGGCTGATAGATAATGGTTGTACAAACCACATGACTTATGATAGAACTCTTTTCACAGATTTGAAGCCCGCTGAAATTGCAAAAGTTCGAATCGGAAATGGTGACTATATTTCAGCAAAAGGAAAAGGGACAATTGCAATTACTACAAACTCAGGTACAAAAAAAAAATTTCTGATGTTCTTTACGTACCTGATATTTACTAAAATTTGTTGAGTGTGGGCCAGCTAATAGAAAAAGGGTTCAAAGTCTTCTTTGAAGATTGGTGCTGTCACATTCATGATGTTGCTGGACATGATATTTTACGAGTTAAAATGAAGGGTAAAAGCTTCTTATTTGACCCAAAAGAGGAGGAGCACATAGCTTATTCCATCGAAGTCACCTTAACCGAAACCTGGCACAAAAGGCTTGGGCATTATCATCTTCAACGAATGTGGAAAATGAAAAAGAATGATATGATAAAAGGCCTACCAATTCTTGCTGATCATCTGCCAAATTGTCATGCATGTCAATTTGGTAAACAAAATAGGATGCCATTTCCCAACTCAACTTGGAGGGCTTCACAAAAACTGCAACTAATTCACACTGATGTAGCATGACCTCAAAGAACACCATCACTACAAGGTAGCCTCTATTATATTCTTTTCATTGATGATTTCACAAGAATGTGCTGGATTTTTTTCTTGAAATTCAAGTCAGAAGTGGCTGGAGTTTTCTGGAAGTTCAAGAAAATTGTGGAGAATAAAAGTTGCTGCAAAATTCAAGTTCTGAGGTCTGATAACGGGAAAGAATACACCTCGGCAAAATTTAATTTGTTTTGTGAAGAAGCTGGCATTGAACATCAGCTCACTGCTCCCTACACTCTAGAACAAAATGGAGTAAGTGAAAGGAGAAATAGATACGTCATGGAGATGGCCAGATGTATGTTGCATGAGAAGGAGTTGCCAAAAAAATTTGGGCAGAGGCAGCCAATACAGTAGTATTTCTGCAAAATCGACTTCCAAGCAAAGCTTTGGAAGACAACACTCCATTTGAGGCTTGGTATGGGTATAAACCTTCATTAAGCTTCCTTAAAGTGTTTGGCTGTATGTGTTTTGTCCATATTCCACAGGTCAAGCGGGATAAACTTGACAAGAAAGCAATTCCAGGTATCTTTGTGGGTTACAGTTCAGTTTCTAAAAGCCTACAAAGTTTATCATCCTCAAACAGGAAAAATGACGATCACTAGAGACGTTCACTTCAATGAGGATGAGCAATGGGACTGGGAGGATTCACAAAGAACAAGTGGACTTTTACAAGAAATTAAAGGCAATTCGCTTGGAAAGCAAACAACGGACCAATAGTAGAATAAATTGGAAGATGATCCTCCAGTCAGAGGAACAAGGCTACTTTCAGACATCTATCAGAGATGTAATGTGGCAATATACAAACCTGCTGGACATGAAGAAGCTCTTAAAGATTCGAAGTGGAAGAAAGCAATGGAGGAGGAGATGTTAACGACCCAGAAGAATAAAACGTGGGAATTAGTTGAAAGACCTGAAGATAGAAAAGTAATTGGAGTGAAGTGGGTATACAGAACAAAGCTCAATGCAGATTACTCCATCAACAAATACAAAGCCAGGCTTATTGTTAAGGGTTATGCTCAGATTTTTGGTGTTGATTACTCTGACTTTTGCTCTCGTTGCTAGACTAGACACAATCAGATTGTTACTAGCCATTGCAGCACAAAAAGGCTGGAAAGTGTTCCAGTTAGATGTCAAATCAGCTTTTTTAAATGGTGTTTTGCAGGAAAAAATATATGTGGAGCAGCCAGATGGATTTGTGGTTCAAGGTGAAGAGGATAAGGTCTATCTGCTAAAAAGGGCTCTCTATGGCCTAAAACAAGGGCCTAGAGTGTGGTACAGCAGGATAGATGATCATTTGCAAAGCTTGGGCTTTAGTAAAAGCTTAT